TCTGTGCTTGCCATCAGCATGTGTTCTGTCCCTTCCAGTATAATATCAGACTCCTGCCTACTGGCAATCCCATCCTTCTGCTGATAGCCCTGCACTGATAACTGTGCAGCTGGAAGTCTTACCACTGCAACGCAGGGCTTAAAAGGACACTACTGAGTTAGCCTCAGAAAAGTCCTTTTGAGCATATCGCAGAATTCAAATTAATCCTCCAAATCTGCTGCTGTTTGAGTTGGTGCTGTGATGGGAACATGTTTTTATTGGGAATCAGAGTCCAGTTCAGAGCTGAGCCCTTGCATTAGGGTTGCCATCACATCTCTGCCCTTCACCCCTTTGCTCTCAGTGAAGCACAGGGCACACTGGCATTCTTTGTAGGGTTGGTTGGATATCTTTCTGTACACCCCCATCTTTCCTAAAAATAGATCCAAGAAACAAGCAGAACTTAAGTGGAGGAAAGGGTAGAAAATCCATTTTGTCACTGGACCTTTGCCATGTTTACCAATCCATCTCGACCATATTTTTCTGTAATCATATTGCTCTGTTTCACAATTGAGTAAGGACTTGTAGAGACAGAAAAGTATGATTTGGGTGTTCCCTCAAAAAATAGTCTTTCAGAAGCACAGATTCCACTAAAGTGGTAGGAAGAGATCCTTAGATTTAAGGAGCTTAGAATTCTGTGGTGCTTTGGTATCACATTGCACCTATATCCATGACAAAATTGAAAAGTTGGTTTGTAAATTGTAAAGATTTCTATTATTTATTTGAAATGCAGAGTGAGAGAAAGGGGGAGAGAGATTTTCCAGCTATTGGCTCCCTCCCAAATGGGTGAAGCAGCTAGGACTGTTTTGGCACCAGGAGCCTGAAACTCCAAAGAGGTCCCCCAGATGGGTGTCAGGGACCTGAGCACTTGGATGTTCTACTGCGTTCCAAGTGCATTAGGAAGGAGCTGGATAGGTCACTAACCAGTCACTAACAACACTGTAAGATGGGATTTCTCATCACAGGTGACAGCTTAACCTGGTGCATGACCACACCAGCCCATTTTGTTTAGTTTTTACTTCTTCATCTACATGAAGAAGTGTGCATGATATTAGGACAAATTGAATTATTCTCAACCATGTAACATCAGAATCTAGTGAACTAGCAAGTACTAATAAGAGGGTTATGTATTGTTAACTGATGGAGCAGTATGAATGAAATGATTTCAGAATAGGGCCTGCTGATTTTAAAGATCAAACTCTAGAAGTTGCTTTGAATGTGTAAGTTCATTTCTATCACAAAACTTTCAGTTCCCATATCTTTCAAGCTCAGTATAGACTTTTATGCTGCAAAATGTTTTCTTTCCTACATGCCATTTTTACTTTGTGGGTTTGGTGAAGAGTCCTTTCCTGTTAATACTTAAAATAGAACTCTTTCAGTTCATGTGTACTGTAAGTGTGACTTGGCCTCCTACTGCACCTGCCACAGGGTGGGGAGAAATGGGTTCATAAAATCACACACATGAAAGTACACACAAATCATTTTGGTAAAATATAGAGTGTTACAATATGAAGCTTGAGATTCTATGTCACTGGCAAGCTCCCAAAGGAGTCTCGGGCTGCTGACTTGAGGACTAGAGAACCAACTTCACAAACACAATCATTGATTCATTCAACATTATCAAATTCTAACATATACTAAGCACTAGAGTTAAGAAACTAAGGAAGAATGTGACATAATTCTTACCTATAAAACTTCCACAGAGTAAAGTTGCAGCAACATAATAACAAGCAAGTTCTATGATCAACAGGAAAATGAAAAAATAATCATAAACTAGGAGAAAATACTTGCAAAAGACATATTTGATAACATATTGTTATTTTCCAAACTATACAAAACAACACTTAAAATTCAAGAAGGAAATGAGCAACTCAACTTAAAATGGGTAAAAAATCTGAATGCATATCTCACTAGAGAAGAAAAGATAATGGATATGTCATCAGGAAATGGAAAGTTAAACAACAAGATATTGCTACATGACTTTTTTTATTGGCAAAATTCCAAAAGCGCAACAAATAATGGCTAACACCAAAGGTCATTCTTATTTAATGTTGGTAAAATTACAAAATGGCATGGTCACATTGTAGGACAATTTGGCAGTTCCTACAAAACTAATCATATTCTTATACATAACCATCCTCTTTGATATTTACCTAAATGGATTGAAGAATAATGTGTTACACAAAAGCCTGCGGACAAATGTTTGTGTACAATTTTCAAGATGTAGAAGAAGACAAATACACTTCAATAGATGAAAGTATAAATAAGCTGTGACACATCCAAACCATGAGATGTTATGCAGCACTAAAAAGAAATGAGCCAGCAAGGCATGAAAACAAATGGCAGGAACTTCCACACATATTACAAAGAGGAAAAATCCAGGCTGAAAGGCTACACTGAACACAGGTCCAACTGCATGACATTTTTCAAAAGACCAAAATCTGGATTTCATAAACAGATTAGTAGTTCCCAGAACTTAGGAAGAACCAAAGGATTCTGAATGTAGAAACGCTCTCTGTAGGCCAGTACAATAATTGGTACATGCTATTGTACAAACCAAAAACTGAAGAACTATGCCGTTAAGAGTAAGTGTCTGCATCAGTTTGACTGTAATACATGTAGCAGTGTAGTTAACACACTGTAGTTCACATCATGTAGTGCTGATTATGGGAAAGTCAGTGCATGTTTGAGAAGAAGGTTACGTGTGAAATCTTGCCTTATATTTTGCTTAGCCAAAACTAAAACTACTCCTAAATATACATATTATTAAGCATAAATATACATATAAAATATAGTGGAGCCAGAAAATCCATTTTGAGAACTAAATTCTTGTTTGGTACACAAAACTTGCCAAATAAATCCCATACATTGAGTCTTGCCACTGATTTGGCCTTCACAAGTTGTATGCACTGAGAAACTTGTCAGACTCTCTCCCTGTGTCTTGGAAAAGGTAATAGAGCCGTAGATTAGTTCTTCAGGGTCAGACTTTCTTAGTGCTGGGAGTTTAACAAGTTCTTGTTTTTTTTTTTTTGTATGCTTTGAAATTTAAGAATTATTTCTATTTTAGGTCCATATAATTTGTAGTAAAATAAAACACAAATACCAAGTGAATTTCAAATAAATCTTAATAACTTTATTTTTCTTAACAAGAACAATCAGCAAGCTTAAAATTTATCAAAAATTAATTAAATTGTTTTCTTCTGTTTCTAAAACCACCTGTAAATTAATGAAATAAGTCATGGGAAGAACATCGAGATAAGTTTTTTGGAAGAAATACATATGTGTCTCTGACATTTTATATAATTAAGGAATAAAATTATAAATAGCTTGGTATTTTGACAAGCATTGTACAAGCATAAAAATCATTTAGAAAAATGAAATCACTAACATCTTTACTGTAACCCACTCTAAGCACTTTCTAGTAACTAGATGGATTTTGCTTTTTTAAGTGGGAGAAAATTAGGAAGGAACTGTTCAACTTTGTGTTTATCTGATAAGAGAAGACCAAAATGTATCCTCCCCAAGCTTCCTGTTTCTAATTTTAGGAGTTGAACAACAACTCTTCTCTACTTTTTACATAAGTCGTCCACAAATGCTGCTTGGTCAATGTACAATTTTGTTAAAAGCTTTGCTGTAATGTTACCATACTGGCTAGTAACATCAACTCAACAACTATCTCTTCTGCCCCACATTTCAGTTAAGTAAACCATAATACCAATATTGCATAAGAAAGCCCTCAATTTTGTCTCCTTTCTGTGTATGCCAGTACTCCCATCCCCAATTTGATACATTTTCTTTAATGATCCATTTCGTGTAGTATTTTAAGTTTCATAAGCAAGCTGAAACTGCAACAGTTTCTCTTGTGCAATTTCTATGTTACTACCCATCTATACACTAACATACACATGCATACACTCATTCATGTATTCATAGCTTGTGTATTTGCTGAAATGAATCCCAATTTTGACTAGCCAGTCTGTATAAGGATTATTGTATTATTGTATAGCAGCACCTGAAAACTCTGGCCTCAAGCTGGTCAACAGCCTTGGACTATTTTTGAAATAATCAAACTCAAGTATTCCAAAAATTCAGATACATAAAACCATCTTTCTTTTTGTTAAGTGGCTGCAATCTCAGCATTTAAAAATCACCACTGTAACATTTCACTACATGTGAGTTGTTTTGATTCCCTAAGAAAAATAGAAAGATGAAGATACCAATGAAAGTATGTTGATCCCTGTTAGCTAACTTAATATTCTGCACTCTTCTTCATTTTTTTAATAGTGATTATAATTTGCTATCAGGACAACCATGATGCAGTTTTCAATCTGCACATACCTAGCAACACCTATTTTAATTTTAAGTTTATTCAGATGCCCACAGTATATTCCTTCAAAACGAAGTAGCATTCATACACATTAATCTAGGGGATTCAAATACCAAGTCACCACTTTACTCAAAAATGAATGTACACTGATTACTTCATCAATAACCATATTTTCTGGGCAATCTAATTGTGTACACAAAAGGATTTGCTTGCCAAGTATGGAAAATATTTACCCCACAACCAATTGAATATTCTACATCTTTGCTGCATCAATTTTCTTTTCCATTTTTTCTTATTTAACATCCAAAGTTATTTCCCATTTATATTTATGGAACATCAATCTTCGACTGACATATAAAAAATTCTTGTCATGGAAGATTGCAAAAATACAGTCACTGTGATCCTTGTGTTTTAAGCAGTCTAATTGGGACATTATTTCTTTTTCTTTTGAAGGTTTTATTATTTTTATTTGAAAGGCAGAATTTACAGGAGAGAGAAGTTATTCCAATACTGGTTCACTCCCACAACACTCCTGACAGCCGGAGCTGAGCTGATCTGAAACCAGGAGCCAGGAGCTTCTTCTGTGTGTCTGACATGGGTACAGGCTCCCAAGGACTTGGGCCATCCTCTGCTGCTTTTCCCAGGCCATAAACAGAGAGCTGAATCAGCAGTAGAGCAGCCAAGACAAGATCTGGCACCCATACAGAGTGCCAGTTCCACAGGACGGAGGATTAGCTTGCTGCACCACCACTTGGGCTCCCACTGTTTCTTTTCATCTTTTTTCAAGAACGTGTAGTGAACTCATACTAGTAACATAAATTTTCTCTTCCCAACGAGTCTCTTACAGCTCTAAAAGAAGGATTAAATTTGCACATTGGACAAAATGTATCTAAAGTAAGTGTTCTGATCCTCTTGATGTCATTCAGTTTTAGAGAAAAAACTGTTGTTCAAGCCCATAATTGGAAAAAGGTTTTGGGAGAAGCCTTAATCATGGTTTCTATGGGCACTTAAGACACAAGCACCAGTATGAGCTTCTTTGAAAAGAGGCTCAACTGCCATGTTGAGCGATGCTATTTGGATCGAGGCAATGGCATTGATATTCTGACATTTATTAATCACAGCTTAGAGTCACAAGAAGATTCAACTCCTCACACATATGGATGCGTATTCTGTTGGTGCTTCTTTCTCATTTCTTGTCTGTTTGGGGTTCATTCCAAAGAAAGAATGATTCAGGGAAGCATAAACGATACCCTGCTTGTTTTCTTCCAGGCATGAGTTAGAATAAACTTCAGCCCTTTCCTGCAACCTAAACCAGGGGTCATTGTCATAAATTCCAGTTTCTGCTGGCACTGTTTGGGATTTTTTCCTGGGGCCCGCTTTTGCTTGCTCACTGCTGATGAGCTGGGGAGCATCAACCTACAAGAGAAACATGGCCATAAGAACCTGGGAGGATGTGATAATGAACACCTGTCAGCCAACTACGAGTGAAAGGCTAATGCAGTCATGCACATGAACAAAAATAATCTGCTCTTCCTCAAATATACTGCTGCATCTACATTTTTAGCAGAATGGAAATTAGGAAAGAAAAAAAAAACACTCTGACTTTCCTAAACAACCATTTTTTGTTTCCTTATGGGTTATTTTTGGTGCAACAGAACACTTTAATCCACCTTCAAAATGAAAAGCATAGTTCAAATTAGTTGGAAAAATCATTAAGTATCCCACAAAAATCTCAGGAAGCTTATCAAGCAATGAATAGTACTAATGTATTTAAAATAAAAAGGGTTTCTATGAACCCTTACCAAGGAGACAGAAAGAAGGAAAATAATGGGTCATCACAGTAATATGAATCCAGTAATTAGAAAACTGATGTCAGTTTTGGAGAGGTAAAGCTTGGGTAAAGTTCTGAAATATTCTTCTAATTGTTATTTCTAACACAACAAAATTCTTATACTTTCAAACAGAACCAAGTATCTTAAAACTTCAGTGGGAGAGGTGAATTCATAGACATGATTTTTTTTTAACTCTTCATCATGTTAGCCCTTTTAAATTGCATATATGATTTTATGTATACATATTTGGCTAAAATGAAGATGCTATATTTATGTTAGGGATTGTTACTTTAATTGTTTAAGCCCCAGTTTTACTAGGAATTTATGTTTGTAAAGATTGGCCTGACTCCTCTAAGGTATCAGGTCATATAATCTATCTGTCTTATATTATACTTTGGCATTCCACACCATAATGTGAAGTATAATGTTTCTAACATCTGCTTGGTAGAGTTCTGTCATGAACTGGAAATTCATTATCTGGCATTATCTGGAAAAACTAGATAGTACATGCTGATAACACTTTTGGGCAGTAACTGCTGCCCAGAAAAAAATACACTGATGACTAAAAGAGACAAGCTTTGCTGAGATGGGAAGTGCAGCTGCCTCCACTGGAAGGAGCTGGTTAAAGTCAGAAGGCAGGCGTTTCCAGGTCTGGAAAGAATGGCTTCAAATCTTCAACAGATCAGCAAGGTCCCTGTCATATTCTTTTCACCTAAGTCGGTCATTTCAGCTACCTGGATCTCCTCCAGGTATATGTTTCATTTCCATTAAAAAAATCATTAGCATGAAAAAAGTAAAAGAAAACATGGTGTTTTACAAGCCAACATATTCATTGCACCCCATCAAAGCCATAGGTGCCCCGAGTTTAATGCATCATGATGCATTCCACCTTCCATTCCTATGGCTCTAAACAGTTTAACAAAGCATATTCTAAAAGGATTGACCCTACAACCATTAAGACTCACCAATACTTTCCTGTTGGTCTTGTCTTCCAGGAAAAAGTTGAGTTGTTCTGTTTGAGTCCCATGGAAAGGTCAGGGGCTATGTATCTGAACAAACCTTAATGAATGACCTTCCGCCCTTCCATGAGCAACAACCTGTCTATTATCCCCTCCCCTGTAGTGTGAAAAGAACCTGCAAGTTGCTTTCAGTCGCTTTAATGTGGAGAGGCTGATACAGTCAGAACGTGATAGCTAATCTTTTGAATCGGTTCTGCGGCTCAGGACTGTATTAGAAGAATGGAGTTACTGATTGCTCTTGTGGCCTTGAAGGAGTAAATTACACCACTGTTAAAAAAGTGTATCAGAGACCCGAGTAGCGACGGCAAGCAGGAGGAAACTGACAGTGGCCACCTGGCTGACGTAAGCGAGGAGTGAGGTGTGGAGGGGAATGCTGGAATGCTATTCTACCTGTGCAAGGAAGTGGATTCTGTCAACAAATGCATAAGGCTGGGAGAGGACAAAAATTCCAGATGAGAACACAACCTGACAGACACCTTGATGGCAGCCTTGTGAGACCCAAAGGAGAGAACTTAGATAAGCTGTATCCAGACTTATCTCACTCGTAGCAACCGTGAGATATTAAATATGTGCATCCCTATATTCACAGCAGCACAATGCACAATAGCAAAGACATGGGAGCAATCTAGATGACCATTGAAAGGGGATTTGAAAAAGAAACTGTTTAGGATTCTACTCTATGGAATACTACTCAGTCATTTAAAATAATGAAATTCTATCATTTGCAATGCTCAGTGAAATTAAGTCAATCACAAAAGGACAAATATCATATGTTATGGGACACGAAAGAACTTTCATGCAAAATGCAAAACAAAAAAAAATATAGGCAAACAGGTATGCACCTGTAATTTTATAAACAAACAGTGTAACGGAGATCAGAGTACTGGGAAAGGAAAAAATGTAGCATGTACCTCTACTCACGAACAAAATGCCTGTAATAAAACTGTTAAATATAATCTTGACAACAAGATGCTGGACTCTACCTACAAAACTACATAATGGAAAATAAGAATTTAAAAAAATTTTAAAAGACATGAGTTGCCAAAAGATGTCTTGACTTACAATCCAGATGCCATAAAATTCATCCTCTCAAGTATAAGATTCAGCGGAATTAAAATGATCATTACTTTGGCTTTTACAGGGACCTTCCATGCTTTCCCTAATTCCTTCCTCCTTTTTGGATTTTCCCACTGGGTCTTATACACATCCTTCTTAATGGTTAATCACAAAAACTGCAAATTTGATTGTTTTTGAAAGTACTAGGCAACTCAAATAAAACAAAAATTTCAAATTTCTGTGACTCGTAAGAACACCTTCAAACAAACCTCACAAATAATTACACATACAAAAAATCTTTTTGAATTCACCTTCAAATCATTTTTCCAGCTTACACAGAAAAAAAGAAAACCAAAAAAACAAAAAACAGAACTGTAGCCACACAAACACAAAATGGGTGATTGTTTTAAATGGTTTCATAGTTCTCATGCCTGACTGTGATAAAATGTAGTTTTTGTTATCTTTCACCTAGGGAAAAAGGAAATAACATTTAAGAACACATTTTCTATTTGGTAACACAAAGTGTTGGCACTCAGCACTATGCTTTAGATATTTTCTAAAAACTTAATAAAAGTTGGCAAGTTAAATGTATATGCTTTGATTTAAAACTAAGCTTCAGTCAAGGAATGTTGAATGCCATTAATATGATGTATATATAAAATCATTGGATTTATTGGTCAATAAATATTTTGCTTTTCTGGAACTTTCAAGGTTATGACTGCTTCTGTGCTACTCTTCCTTACTGAAACACACACATACAAATCAACCTATTCCACACTTATAACTGTTTATTATCAGCCAAAGAGTTTCAAAACAATTTTTTTCACAAGAAGTTGCTTCATCTTGCATTGTTTTTTCAGTTCTAATATGCATAAAACATTGAATATAAATTTACATTTCCAAGCTTGTGCGGGAAAAAAAAAATGTCTCCAAAATGCCCTTGACTGGGTATGTCTGGGTGGTCTCTTCCTCCAGGAGTCCACACCCATTGTCAAGAATTTGTGCACAATTTGTGCCTGGGACCATGCCTCCATCTGCTGCTGTGCTTTATAAAGAAATTGAGCCATTTTCCAGGAGGCTATTGATGTGCTTCTTCTTTCATCAAATTGCTATTGTCTTCCAGAAAGATGTTAATGTGATTTTGTGAAAAATAAAATAGCCTGAAGTTACATAATAGGCAAGAGTAGAGCCAAGATTATGTGAGTCTCAACTGTTTTTTACACCTTTCCAAAGAAACTCTGATTATGAGAACTATTAATCCAGAAAAGCTTTTGTGACAAGCAGCAGCTAATGTAAAACGGATATCTTAAATATTTTGTAGAACAATGCCCAGCATGTGATATTACAGACTCACTGAATGAATGAATGAGTGAACAAATGAATGAGGAGGTAGAACAGTGCAAATAACATTTACCACACATACCAGGTTAATTTCTCTCCCTGCTCTATCTGTATCAGTAGGCTTCTCTTGTTTGCCTGCAAGACAAAAAGAATATAAGCAATTGAGAAGAGTAAAGAAAGCAGGAGTGCCCTTCCCTCCATCCCCACCCTTGCAAGCCGGTGATCCTGTTGCCTTGACTTTTTACTTGTTTATTTACTTTGCCTAGCATGACCTCCATGGGAAATGACAGTGTTCTCAGAGAGGTTCCAACAACCTCACAGAAGATGAAGAATCCACACCAGGTTCATGGGAAAACGATGAAGGTCGGGATGAACTTTAAAGGCACAGACGCAGGACTGCGGTTAGAGTGGACTTCCTCAGAATTTTGAGGAGGCTATCGTCTGGAAGTCCTTGTTCCGGAGCACTGGAAGTGCTTTTGCACTTGGTTTCCCCTTGTGGCAGCAAAGTGAAGGTTCCTACTGGTTCCATAGCTACACTGTGGCTGTTGTGGAAAAAAGGGTGAGGGTGGTGCAGGAAAGAACAGAAGAGAAAGCTGTGGTGGTTCAGATCAGAGCCAGATCAGAATTACCTCCACATCCCTCTCTCAGCTTTTCTAAATGTTTGGCTGTGGTACTGATGGAAATTTTCAAAAATAGAAATTGTTTCCAGAAGATCACACTTCTTCCATCATAGCCAAACTCACATTTTTCAAATGCATTATGGTTGTAGAAAAGTGTTTATGATGGTGACAAAAAGTATGCACACATGAATTCCTTCTAAGGCTTTTGATTCTTTCTTTAGATAAGGGTGTGTGTGCCAGCATGGTGTGGCATTGTGTGGGGGGACAAAAGGATGCAAAATAACTTAAGCCAGATTGTTTCTCTGAGAGATGATTTCAACCTCCCTGTCAGCTCCTTAAAGCTTAGAAGAACTTTTCCTTCTACAAACCTCAATCTGATGCAAATGACATGAAAAAGCTGAAGCCTTTGGCCTCTCCTAGCCACAGCCCTAGGTTGTGTGAGCCCTAGGTAGAAGCCTGTACATGGCAAGTGAACATACTTTCTCATAATTGGAGACAGCCCAAGCTATTCCATCTGACATTTTGGCAGAAGTATGACTTTTCCCCTACAAAATCATTACCCTTAGTTTAACCTAGAAGATCCAAAATGCCAACAACAGGAAACATCCACAATTTCAGGAACTCCAGGAATGAGAATTCCCCAAGTGTGCGGTACAGAAAGGCAAAGGGGAACCAGAGCCCACCTTGGTGCTCTCTCAGGCAGCAGAGGAGGCAGAAGCAGATGATACTGAGCAGGGGCAATCCTCCCAAAACCATCAAACCATACAGGAGCCACGGTTGGCTTGCCTTCTCTTCCTTGGAGGCTGGTCCTGCAGTACTAGTTGCACCTGGAATGTCAGTCAATGCTGGAGAGTCAGGAACTCTGAATTGATTATGTTCTTCCATAGCCCACTGCTTGGTCGGATTTGAAGGAAGGCATTTTTTCAGGTCTTTCCCCCTCAGATATTCCCTAAGAATCCCAGGCCTTAGTTACCTCTTGCTTTATTCCTCAGCATATGTGGCTTGACAAAAAAAAAAAAAAAAAGATTTTGTTTTTGCCACAAAATCATTTATTATATTAAGCTGGAGAGAATCTTCTGGAGAAGAATCTCCAAAAACATCTCTCAAGAAATGCCTCCCAGAGGCCTTTCCTTTGCAGCATTTAGTTTTAGTGCTCATACTCATCATTTAAGAATATTAGAAAAACTCTTCTTTTCAGCCAGTCCAATGATCAAAGACTGTAATGATTTTGAGAATTGCCCAAGGTCGGAGAGCTAAGACATAGCAAGGGTGGTGGGTGGGGGGGCTCAAGTTAGGATGGTTCTGGCAGCAAATTCGTGTTCCTTCATCACAATACTCCTCTCTCAACTCTTCACTCATTGGTATCTCCAAATACCAAATACCTTAGGTATCTCCAAATAGCTTTGCCTGGCAAATAGCTGTTGCTCTCTACTGTTCATATTCATAGGTTGTAAAATAATTTAGTAGATCACAAATATTACTTTTTAAAACTGAGATGGAAGAGAATTGAAAATTCAGAGTGTACCACATGTTTTCTAGAGAAATGATGTCACCTAGGATAATACTGCCTCCCAGGGAACATGTGACAATGGATGGAGACACTTCTGATTGTCATGGTGTCTAGGGGACACTATAATGAGTAGAAGCTACTAATTGTGCTAAACAGCTTACCTTACATATAATGTGTTGCCTGTCTTAATGCAACAAAGAATAAACAAATTGAGTGTTAATAAAGAAACTCTGCTTTCGGTAAATGTGACTGTGAACATTATTCCATAGGTTATGTAGGGTTTTTTTACTGGGCTTGCTGTTAGCACAGCATAAAAATCACCGGAATTACTGCTACAATGTGCGTGTTCAGGGAAACTGGGTAACTAAGGCCTCAAATGAAGTGGTTTAGAAACTCACAGTTGGTAACAAAGACCATATTTATCATGTCAGAGCTGCTGTTCAGGTTGAGCAAGCAACCATAACCTTGGCAAGAGTGGGAGATTCAGCTGTCGGGGGGAGGAGTTGGAGAACAGTAAGCACTGTAGTTCCCACAGAAGATAACCTAATACAAACAAATTCTCTCATTTAGAGGATCCACCTTCTGGTACTTCTGCAACCAAACAAACCAGTTTCCTTAATTTTATATATTAGTTCAACACTTACTCATTAGAGGGCGTTCTGACTTATTTTGAATCTGATCTGAAACAGAAAAACACACACACAAATAATTGAAACTGAGAAAACCAATAAAGACATACTTCAGTCATGTCTAAAATCAGAGCTAGTTTGGAAGACAGACCAGGAACTCAGCTCAAGATCAGTGTCAAAAACATGGATCATCACCGACAGATAAGATACAGAGCAAGTTGCTGGGCTTATTTGGTGGAGTAGATAAAGACTTTGGAAACACAGTGCAACTGTCTCCTGCCTTCTGTGGCATCCTCTTCCTAATTCCTTAAGTACAAGAACCTGTTCCAGCGTGTTAGGCCCTTCTGGCACCTGAAGTAACAAGATGCACATTGACCAGATGTGTTCCCAGGGAGTGTGTAGAGAGCCATAAGGAAAGGAGACTCTCAGAGATATTTGGGGTGCTATTTTCTGAGAGGAAACTTTGTCTTTCCTTCCCACCTGCTTACTGCACACTCCTTGTCCTGCACTAGTAATGACCATTGCACCTTCATGATGTTCCTGCCAGAGCCTGACCAAGAGCAGTGTGGGGAGCATTGGCTTAGCTGAGAATGCATGTCCCAGCTCGGCCAGTTCTCTCCCAGCAGCTTGCTATGTTTAGAAAAGTGCTTTCCTTCATTCTGTGAGAACATGGTTTTCCCAAGAGCACCTAAGTCCCCATTCTGTCATGTTTTTCCATGAACCAGTTCTTGAACATAAATAGCAGAGGAGAGTCAAATACAAATATGAAAAAATTCCCAATATCCTTTCAGAAATATACATGGGGAAGAGAAACAAAATACTTGTGAGCATACTTACAAAATTTACTTATAAAAAGCATGAGCATTAACATAATTCCACAATATATTTTTCCCTCATAAAAGAGCACTTCAAAAATGGAATGAAGTGGTAACTTTAGTTTGGTACAACAAATTCACCAGTACTTTTTGATCTTCAAGAATGCTGATAAACGTGAACATTCTAATATTTTTCACAAACTTTGAAAGTTTTTGCACCAAAGTGAACTCATCTTTTAGTTCCATTTTCCTAGGAAAGTTTTGAAGTATCCCCATTATTTACTAAGTACTTTCAGAAGGAAAAAGAATTTTCCTGATACCTTTGTTTCTAACGATTTTACTAAAGAAAAATTACATATTCAGTTACAACTAATTTAAATCTATACCAAACTTATGTAAAACTTAATTTTTTAATGATTTGACTTTTCTTAAGAAGTAGAGACAATCCAAAGAAATACAATTCGTGCCTTCCACCACATTGCAATCATTCATGTAACTTAAAAGTCATTTCCACACATTGCCACAACGGAAGAATAAATGTGATAAACGAGAGACACTGACTGTAAATAGCATTAAAAAAAGAAATACATTTTAAAAAATAACAGAAACACTTCCTCTTGAATGTTTATAGAGAGTTTCCCTGGAATTTAAGCTGTAAGCCAGGCAGAGAAAAACAGGAATAGAAGTTGACAGATGGAGACAGATGAAGTGGTTCCATGTAAGTGGGGAAGGCAGCAAAGAAAGGGACATGGTGAGGACATGGCAATGGTCAGCCAGGTGGTTAGTCTGGACTTGAAGGATTCTACATGCAGTGCAGAAACAAGCCAAATGGCTGTATGGGGACAAATTGTGCAAAACCTTGCTGCTTACCAAACACACAGGCTGATGGTTTGAGCTCTGGAGATGTTCCTAGAGAAACTCACAGAAAAATAACGTTATGAAAGAAGGAGAGCAGGTAAATTAAGTGCATTAGGAAGATTTTGGGCAAAAATGTACTAAATGGGGATACACTAAGGACAAGGAATAGACCTGCACAATAAATGGGATCCTTTGAAAGGAACATAATGAAGGGCTGAGCTGCTCAGAGAGAAAGAAACACATCACAGAATGACAGAAAAGTCTAGGAAATCAAATTAAAATTTAGGGGAATTTCCAATGGGCCCCCTGGAGCACTAATTATCAAAATGAAAAGAAATCAAGTGATAAGAAATGTAGATGGTAGGAATGTAGGAAACAAAGAAAGTAAAAGTCTCCAAAATGAAACCTACGACACTATTGGTGTCTCCTCTCTAGTTCTTAGACTTCTTCTTTTGCCACTTTATCCTTACATTTTTCAAGTTAAACACACGGTCTAAAAGGAAATACTAGCTCCTGGCCCTGAAGTCAAACACCTGCTCCACTGGATTATCAAGTCAGTCTCAATTTGATCAACAGAATTAAGGACTTTATGCACTTTGCATGCCATAAACCAAGCTTAATGGCCACAGAGAAAGTTCAGTTTTGGGTAGAAGAAAAGCTAATACTACTGGGAGACGTTTGTGTCTCAGTAATTACCAGCTTGTCTCTGATCCTGGTGAAATTCCTTTTTCTTATAAGATGTGGATTAATTGCCATAAAAGAAGACTAATTTACACAAGAAAGTTTTTCTTCCAAAGGAGATGGACTCAATGTCACTAAATTTAAGTTGACTAAACATTATATTAGTGCTTGTTATATATTCAGTAGCATCTAATTTTTATATTTAGTAATACAAAGATGATATCACTTTGGAAGTAACATCCCTGCAAATTTTATCTATTTTTTAAAATTTTATGCATTTTACTTATTTAAAGGGTAAAAAGACACAGCGAACCTCATCTGCTGGTTTCCTCTCCAAATGTCCTGGAGCTCCATTCAGACCCCGAACATGGGTGACAAGGTCACCACCTGATGCCTCTATCGTGTGCATTATCAGGAAGCTCAAATCAGGAACAGAGCCAGGACTCAAACTCAGACATCTGGTATGGGATGCAGGCATCCCAATCAGCATCCTAACCACCGCATCAAATGTCCACCTCTGCTCTTCATTCTGAAATAAAATCCTGTTAGGATGAAGTTGAAGCTATAGAATGGAACGAAAAGCTAAGCTAATCATAGATGTTTGTGTCTAATGGAGAAAACGGGAAGGGATGGGAGAACAGATAGATTTATTTCTTTTTTCCTTAAATATGAGGAGAGGAAACAGTATCATTTGTTTTCCTTGCGGCACTAGCAGCAAACCGGTTCATTTTCACAAAACACGATTTCTGCATTATGGCCTGGCGATAATGTGGCTATATCGGGGAGGAACAAACATGAAGACAACTGATAAATAGAACTTTATCTGTCTCAAACCCTCTGATATTTGATTGTCCTCATGCTGGGTCCACAGGGGAATAATAAGCCCATTAGATGCTGCAGTTAAATCTTCTAAAATGTTGTAGTGAATGGGTTGCCAGCTTCTTTCATTGCTGGTGTTGAGGCTTTCTTGCACATGTAAATTCTTTTGGAAAAGTTGAGGTAAAAGGATGGGGGAGAGTTTCAATTAGAGTCACAAAGTTCCAGACGCTAACCACCAGGCCTCCTGTCCTACTTTACTGCACATGCTTTTCTGAGAAACACGATCACTGAGAGTAATGCATCTTGGTTCAAAAAAAACGATCCCCTCATCACCATCCTCCACCCTCTCTTTGTTTGAATGTCATAGTGTCACAGAATAAATTCCAAAAAACCGTCTCTGTTCCCTCACACCAGGACAATTTCATGGTGACTTGGTCAAAGGTATGGGTAAGGTAGCCATGCTGGTGGAGGGGATCCCTGCCAGGAGACATGGTAATCCTTCATGATGCACACAGAGAACACCTTGGTCAGCTGCTCCTGGGAAACAAAGGGCTTGCTTTACAGGTCACTTAGGTAATTCAGTCAAAAGCACGGTCTATAGGCATTCTTTGTCCTTTTTTTTTCCTTTACAGTAACTGGGCCTCTGTCTTCCAAATGCTTGTAAGCTTTGTACTATCATTCCAGTAGGCACCAACTCCCAGACCATCTTTTTGCTGCTCATGTGTTTCTTATATTTTTCTGTGACTATAAGGAGGCAGCACCAATAACCAATTTCCACATGGGTTCACCAGGAGCTGGTGTTAGTAGAGCTTCTGTGGTGGTGTCTGTCTGTCTGTAGCATGCCAAAGATCCTGGAGAAGCTGTGAGCACAGTTCAGTAGGGCTATGGTGGGTTCCAGAGGAGAGCGAGTAGTGGGAAAGAGGGAGCAGGAAGGAGAAGCTGCAGACACAGAGGTGCTAGTTCCTGAAGAAATAAGGACAGTAACCTTTTTCTCCCTGTTTTATTGTTAGCATTATAGCTGTCTAAAGAAGTATGGAGTAATATGCCATGATGGTTTTGATTTGCATTTCCATATTGACTAATGTCATTGAGAAGTTTTTCATGTGCTTAGTAATCATTTGTACTCCTTCTTTGGTAAAATATTTATTCAAGTCCTTATCATTTTTTACATTTACATTTTCTATTTGTACTTGAATTGGAGGAGTTCTTTACATTTTCTAAGTAACAGACATGTAATTTGCTAGCAATTTCTCACAGTCTGTGGGTTGTCTTTTCACTAGATAAAGTATTGTGATACAAGAATGGTTTCAGTTTTTCATAAAGTTTTATTTATTTATTTTGTCATTGTGCTTATTCTGAGTTCTGATATAATGCTTTACATCGATGTAATTTTTCTACTTCGGCTCTATATGTAAATACCTGATCCATTTAGGTATTTCCATAATATGATATAAGGTACAGACCCAAATTCATTCTTTTCAAAAGTACATACAATTGTCCAAGGATCATTAACTAGAGATTATTCTTCACTCATTAATTCACTGACTCCTGTAATTCCTGTCAGAAATTAATTGAACATAGATGTACAGGTTTATTCTGCTCTTACATCAACCGTTATGCCTATCAATGCCCAAAACTACACTATTTTGATTATTACAATTTTTACTAGGCGTTAAAATAGGGAAGCGTTATCCAGTTTTGTTCTTTTTCTTCAAAACTGGTTCTGCTGCCAATGTTCTTTTTGAAATTTCACCTGACCATCTTTTCCATTTCTGGAGGGTAACAAAAAAAAAAAAAAAGGCTGCTGTGATTTTAATTGGGACTGTATCTCCATAGATCATAATGGAGAATATTTACAACTTTTAACATTAAATATTCTGGTTCATGAACATGGGATATCTTTACACTTACTTACATCTTATTTAATTTATTTTACCTCCTTGCGGTTTATTCATTGTCTAAGTCTTACATTTTCTAAGTTAAATTTGTTCTTGGGTATTTTATGATTTTTGTTGTTGTTAAAAATGCAATTGCTTCCTTCATTTATCAGCCTGCTTATTATTAGTATTTGAAAATATTACTGATGTTATCATTTATCACATATCATGCAGATTTATTGAATTCCTATAGTATTGCTAGTAGTTTTTATGGATTTTAAAGAATATATATGTATGTCTGTGTATAATCTTGCCATCTGTGAATAGAGATAGTCTTACTCCTTCCACTCCAATTTAAAAATTCAAATGCCTGTTTAATCATATTTCAACTGCCCCGGCTAAATTTCTGGTTCAGTGTTGAAGAGGCAAAAAGAAACGTTCTTGTCTTGTTTTGGTTCTCAGTGGAAGTATCCATTCTTTCACCATTGTTCATGATGCTAGCTATAGTATTTTCGTACATTAGACGTGCTATTCCCTTATTCCTCACCATTTCTTTTCCCTGTAAGTGTTGTTCATCTTAGTTTTCCTATTTTAGCTTTAGGTATACTTCTTTGACTGTCAGAGGCTATTAAAGGTCCCCAGGGGGGCTGGAGAGGCATTTGAAGCTCTGCATATTCCCATTACCTCATCAATCATTACATTATCTGTTTGTGAACTATTCACAGGTGTGTAACTGTGCAAGCATCATGTAACTTCAAAAGATTTGATCAAGAAAAATCAAGGAGAGAAAAATGGAAGAAAAAGAAAAGAAATATAAAGAATAAAGGGTCTCCAAAATTATTGATGCTTCCGTCAAAATTTTTTCAGTAGCTCACTGATAATTTTAGTTTTATTAAATAAGGTTTTAGAGGGGTTGTGTTCTGATGCAGTGGGCTAGGTTACCACCTGGAATGCCTGCATTTCATATCCGAAAGGTTGGTTGCAGTCCTGGCAACACTGCTTCTTGTGGAATTTTTGTTTGTTTGTTTATGTTTATTGTTTATTTGAAAGTCAGAGTTACAGAAGGAATGAAAGAGTTACAGAAAGGTGAGCAGTGTTGTGAGTTCTGTGAGTCTTTGATCCACTGACTCGCTCCCCAAATGACCACAACGGCTGGGGCTAGACCAGGCCAAAGCAAGGAGCCAAGAATTTCATCTTGGTCTTCTTCATGGATGGCAGGGGCCCAAACACTTTGTCCACCCTCTATTACTTTTTCCAGTCCATTACCAGTGAGCCGCGTAGGAGGTGGAACAACCAGGATACAAACTGACCCCATACGGGGATGCTGATGTCACAGACAGCAGCCTTACCTGATGTCTCGTCTCTGCTTTAAAAAATTGGCTTCCTGGGCCCGGCACGGTGGCCTAGCTGCTGAAGTCCTCGCCTTGAATGCACCAGGATCCCATATGGCCACTGGTTCTAATCCAGGCAGCCCTATTCTACTTCCCATCCAGCTCCCTGCCTGTGGCCTGGGAAAGGGGTCGAGGACGGCCCAAAGCTTTGGGACCCTGCACCTGCGTGGGAGACCTGGAAAAAGCTCCTGGCTCCTGGCTTCGGAATGGGGCAGGACTGGCCTTTGCAGTTACTGGGGGAGTGAATCACCCATCAGACAGAAGATCTTCCTCTCTGTCTCTCCTCCTCTCTGTATGTATCTGACTTTGCAATAAAAACAAATCTTTAAAAAAATCAGCTTCCTGCTAACGTACACTCTGGGAGACAGTAAATGTTGGCCTGGATACTTGAGTTTCTGCCTCGTTCCTGTATTAAGCACATGGAGACATGAACTTCTGACTTGGGTTTGGCCCAGCAGTGGCTGTTCTGAGCATTTAGGGAGTGATCAGATGGAGGATCTCTCTCCCTCTCTCTCATTCTGCATTTCAAATAAACAAATAAACATCTAAAATAAATGAACACATACATGCATGCATTTTACAAGCCTTCACGTCAAGAATCATAACTTTCCTTGCACTCTTCTCTGATTGACACGCTTCAAAGAGGCACACACAGAAGCCATTTGATGTAGTGTAAGAGCTCAGCTGCTCACCTAGCACTCAAGAATCTGGATCTTTTTCCTGGAAAAAAATGACGAGAAAAGCATTAGATGGTCTACGAGTCAAGACCTTACCTGTCACATAAATGGTTGTTGAGTGGCTCTCAATGATGCCAACGGAAAACTTCGACTGACAACGATATGACCCATTGTCACTAGGAAGCACTGGCTCAAAATGTAGAATAAAATCCGAAATATTCACTCCTTCTCTCCAACTTGTGTGTAGATGAAATCCATCCACCAGTGGTTGACAGTTGCTTCTATTGAGCTTACACCAAGTCACATTAGGTCTGATGTTACAGTATTTCACGGGGCATTTCAGTTCAAAGGGATCTCCTGACGCGACAGAGTGCACAGAGTTTCTCTTAATGTAAAGTTGTACTTCACATGATTCTTCCCCTAAAAGATGAGAACAAAATCAAAATCAAAACTGCTCTTCTGTAAAAATCACATGTGATGGTTCTTGAAAATGTCCATGGAAATGTGTAGTGCAAAAACAACAACAACAACAACAAAACAGCTGTTCATGGATTTCAAAAACTCAGGCAACAAATCAAACTATTAGTTCCACGCTTCTAAGAACATATGGAAGTGCCCCTGTAGATAGCACTTAAAAAGTTTCTGCCAGGAATTGCTGAAGCATGATTCTGTAGATTTCCTGGATAACTCTTTCTAGTAATTGACCCTCACTAGTAAAGTGACTAATACAAAATACATAATAAAACTTTGTTTTTAAAAAATGAAATAAACTAATCTGCACAATAAATATATGTTGTTATAAACTCTATTTTATAGATGGAAAAACGTGCTAATAATGAGCAGCATTAAGATTTGCACTCGGGCCCTGCATGATAACCTCGTGGCTGAAGTCCTTGCCTCACATCCTCCGGGATCCCATGTGGGCGCTAGTTCTAATCCTAGTGGCTCCGTTTCCCATCGAGTTTCCTGCTTGTAGCCTGGAAAAGCAGCTGGGGATGGCCCAAGGTCTTGGGACCCTGCACCCATGTGGGAGACCCAGGAGGTTCTGTGCTCCTGGCTTTGGATTGGCTCAGCTCCAGCTGTTGTGGCCACTTGGGGAATTAATCAATGGATGGAAGATCTTCCTATCTGTCTCTCCTCCTCTCTGTATATCTGGTTTTCCAATAAAAACAAAATAAATCTTAAAAAAGAGAGAGAGAGAGAGAGAGAGAGAGAGAGAAAGATTTACACACAGGTGAGCAGTGTTGTGAGTTCTGCTACTTGGGACACTGGAATTTCCCATCAGAACTCCTGTTTAAAGTCCCAGCTGCCCCACACTTCACACCCAGCTTCCTGCTAATAAGCCTGGAAAGCAGATGATGGTCCAACTACCTGGGTTCTGTTATCCACATAGAAGATTGGATGGAATTTTTGGCTCTTGATTTTCAGCTCCAACCCCAGCTATCAAAGGTGTTTGGGGAGTGAACAAAGAGATAAAAAGGTTTCTCTCTCAGTTTCTCCTTTCTCTCTCATCTCTTTTCTCTGTTGCCTTCTCTGAGCTCTGTCTCTCAAATCAACAAGTAAATCTTTTTTTTTCAAAAAAGAGATTTAACTTCATACAGAGGTTTATTTATTACTCTATTTATTTGCCATTACTCTGTATTGCTTCTGGAACAGTAATTGCATTTACTATCACCAGATTTCATGTATTTCATTAAGCAAAAAAGAGAAATTTTTGTAAGCAAACAGTCCCCTCGGATACTTAGAGCTACAAAATTTTTTATGATGTTTCAAAGGCTTTAATGGTACTTCGTAGTTTTTTCCATGATTTTTTTTTTCTGTGTAGGATCATGCAACTCAAAATAACCAAAAGAAGACAGAATGTTCTAAAATAAACTATGTTTTTTGTTTCTCACAATGGGAAGAGGAGCAGTGCTCCACCTATTTCAAAAATTTCACACATCAACCCAGCATACTGAAAATATCCTCCCTTTGGATAGTGGTTGGTGGGGTTGGGAGTAGTAGAGAAGAGATTTCTTTCTCCTGGAAATAGATTTTTCTATTACACTCTATGAACCTCTAGTTAGTAAGTGTCATGTGTCTATTAAGTCTGAAGGACAGAATAGATTTTTAATTTTCAATGTCATTAAATATTTTCTTGTTAATTTATCCTGAAAGTATGTAACTCACAACTTTGATATCAAAAATATATCTGAGCATGGCACCATGGTATAACAGGATAAGCCTGCATCTGTGGTGCCAAGCATCCCCATTTGTGTCTTGGATGTTCCATTTCTTTTTTTTTTTTAGATTTATTTTTTATTATTATTATTTTTTTAATTGGAAAGGCAGATATACACAGAGGAGAGAGAGAGAGGAAGATCTTCCGTCCGATGATTCACTCCCCAAGTGAGCGCAACGGGCCGATACTATGCCGATCCGAAGCCAGGAGCCTCTTCTGGGTCTCCCACGCGGGTGCAGGGTCCCAAAGCTTTGGGCCGTCCTCGACTGCCTTCCCGGGCCACGGGCAGGGAGCTGGAAGGGAAGTGGGGCTGCCGGGATTAGAACCGGCGCCCATATGGGATCCGGGGCGTGCAAGGCGAGGACCTTTAACCACTTGCGCCACCGCGCCGGGCCCGGATGTTCCATTTCTGATCCAATCCCCTACTAATGTCCTAGGAAGAGAGCAAAAGAGGGCCTAAATCCCTACTCCCCTAACATGCACATAGGAGATGTGGAGAAGATCCTGGTTCCTGGCTTCATACTGACCTAGTTCCGGCTATTGCCATCATTTGAGGACTGAACCAACAGATGGAAGATCTCTCTTTGTCTCTGTATTTCCCTTTTCTCTCTGTAACTTCAACTTTCAAATAAAAAAAAAAAACTTTTAAATATATCTGAGAACCAATACACATGAAAAAGCAAATCCTTTCTCAACAAATGTATATATTGAACGACACAAAATTTACCTCATTTATATATAATTCTTTTCCCTGACAGTTATGTCCAGATGAAAAAAAATTATGAAAAGATTAAGATCATTGATAAGCTTAAAATTATGTTTACTTCCATCTATTTTTTTAAACAAGCAAGTATGCATCCCATTATATACAAAATTTTATCAGAATAACTATTTAAAAAAATGCTATGAAGGGGCAGGTGTTTGGCCTAGTTATTAAGTTGCCATTTGGAACTCCTGTGTTCCATATTGGAATGCCTGGGTTCAAATCCCAGCTTTGCTATGCATGATTCCAGCTTTTGGGTCATGTGCACCCTGGGAACAACACTTTATTGAAGTTATTGAGTACTCAATACCCATATAGGAGACCTTGATTGATTTCCCAGCTCCTGCCTTTGGCCACAGCCTAGAACTTGCTGTTGCAGCAGCCATTTTGGGGGAGTAAACAAGTACATAAGAATCTCTCTCTCTCTCTCTCTATATATATATGTATATATATCATATATTATATATTATATATTTAATATGTTATATATAATATATATTTGAGATATATATCTCAAATTTCAAAACATGTTTTGACCTTAAAATAACTTCAATTGCTTAGAATATGTAAATATGTAAAATTATTTCTTCTTTGCTAATTCCTGGACTGAATTTTCCTTTGTGCGTTCCATGGGTAAAATTAGCTTAAGAAATAACATGCACTTGCAATAACCACTAACATCATACACAAGTGATATGTGCATGGTACATATAAAAGTTACTGAATATTTTACTATGGATCTGGTTTGTCAAACTGTTGAAACAAAATCACCAAAATAGGCAAAGATTCTCTTTGGCTAAGTGCTTTCTGGTGATTTTTATATTTTTCTTTTATTTTTTGAATAAGTGTTAAGACTAGATACATTTTCTTAAAGTGTTTTTACTTCAATTAGTTTTTGTTTCATCTTTCTAAGCATCAAAACACTCTTTTTTTCTACAATATATCTAACCATTTTAATCATTGGTTTCTTTCACTTATCTTCAAACTTTTCCTGAATAGATCATATTAACATAGGTGAATGTAAAAGAAGTATAACTGAGATTGTAGCTAAAACCCAAAAATGGAGGCTGAGGGCCTCATTTGTTTACATGCCTGGTCTGACGTTGAAACAGTAGGTCACACTTCACATGCCCTCTACCTAATGTAATGGGTCAATTTATTTCTACACCATAGCCAGAATTAATACTTTCATTTTTTTAGCTATTTCCTAACACCTAAAAAAAAAAAAAAAAAAAGCTCTATGCTATCTGTTTACATCTTGTCCACCACTACTCAGAATATTTGATTGTCTTTCCAGAAATCAGATTGAGACAAAGGACCTGCAAAGAACTTTGAGAATCTCTGAGTATTTACTCTTAACTGCTTGGAGACCTCAAACAAGCTCACTTTCAAACTTCTTAACCTCAGTTGCTTCCAAAAATTCAGAGTAAAATGAAAGCAAACTTAACAGTAAGTTATGGAATGAGGTTTTTAAAAAACTTGAAGAGAAAGGGTAAGTTGATTTGCCTAAAGGAAGTGCCTAACAATACAATACCTGGATGTGGTTAGACTTAAGACAAAAACACAAGGAGACCAGAGGCAGAATGGGCAAGTGAAACTTCTGTTTACCAAAATCGTGCCTCTCTCTGAAGCTGATAAACTTCTGAGCCTTCTGACTTCCCTTTTGGCTTTCTTAAGTCCATAGTTTTGTATGGAGTCTGTAAGTGTGCTAGAATGTAAAAAACAAGATACAAAAACAAAGACCATTTGCTGTCAAAGAACTTACCAGAACTAACTATCAATGAGGCCAAGTCTCTGAAATAAACTTAGTATCTGCCAGTCTCTTTTTTCCTTACATTTGCCTGAAATAAGCAAAATTCAGAGGAATCTTGTGTGCGAGCTGTTAGGGACGACATTAATAAAAAGCAATGCTTACCTTTGTATTGTTTGCATGCTAGTGGGAAATAAAGATGGGTGACAAATAAAAGAATGAGATAATTTTGTAAAAAAGCCCAAAGCACTTTAAAGGGTGTGAATGGGTGTGCAGAAGATTAACTTCAACTGGCTGATTGGAGCAAAGCTGAGTGACAAAGTTATATTTGAGATGGATTTAGTGAATAAGTAGTGCTTTCACAATCAGAATAGGGTATATTGGGTATGCTAGTACTGATATTAAAAGACAAATGAGAAAACAACAATGCTTATACTGTAGATCAATAACTATAATGGTATAGAAGTAGCTAGAAATAAGAATATTTATCGATCAGGGTTGCTTCAAATGCTAACACTCTATGCAGCACTGAGACAGCCACCCAGGCTCACCAGCCTTTAATTTCTTTAAATTATGATAAAGGATTCAGCCACAAAAAAATAGAAAGTTATTTCTCACCATTCTACTCACACTTCACTTCTGTCAAGTGATCCTAACATTATAAAACCATTTCTAGTCTGTAGTTT